TCGGAGACAACCCCTTCCTCGGAATCGGTGGAGTGTCAACTTTTTAAGTGGAGGGAATGCGACATGAAAATCGTGTGCGTCAAGTTTGCGACACAGTCCGTAACGAAACACCATCACGAAAAGTTGCGTACAGCCGAGAAGTTTGAATTCTTTTCGTTTCGCGCGCTCGTCGTTTTTTCCTTTTTTGCTGAATCCTTGTGTGCGGTTTGGTTTTGATCTATATCTTTATCTCTAAAGCTCTGTTATCTATTGCCGTTTCTATTCATTCTTTCGGAGTCAGTTTAACCTATACTCATTTATTCATTCTTTTAATAGTTCGCTTATTTTAGAACTGCTTTTCCCTATTCTCAATTTATTTATAACCTAGAGTTGCAGTAAATAATTTTTCTTGCAGATGTCATACCAAGCAGCCACAATTGTCGCTGCTCCAAACGAGTTTCGGGTGCCGTTCCCACCATTTGTTCAAATTTCTAAAGTCCAGGTATCGTTTCGCATTCAATGTCTGTCTGATACGTCTCGTTTTTAGTTTCAAAAGGACGGCGGAGGATCAAAATTGCTCGTGGCGTCAGGTTGGGATGGAACATGCCGCGTATACGAAGTAGGAAAGCTCGGAGAGTTTTCTGAAAAACTCGTTTTCACACACGGAAAGCCTCTACTGACATGTACATTTGCTGTAAGTTTTATTCGATAAAATAACGCATTTCACATGTGTATCGTTTTAGGGTTACAACAAAGTCGCCTTCGGAGGTGTGGATCACAATGTGAAACTTGCCGACATCGAGACTGGAAATGGAACACAGCTCGGATCGCATGCATTGGCAGTTCGCTGTCTGGAGTTCAACCCCATTAGCAGTCTCATCGTCTCTGGTGGATGGGATTCTTCCGTGAAACTGTGGGATGCACGAAGCTATGGAAATGGTGCAGTTGATTCCGTGAATGTGTCCAGCAGTGTTTACGCCATGGATGTTCTCAAGCACATGGTTCTTGTTGGAACAAAAGATCGGAAAATCTACATGTTCGATAGTCGCAAACTCAGAGAGCCAGTGCAAGTTCGTGACAGTCCGCTCAAATATCAGACACGATCTGTTCAATTCTTCCCAACTGGAGAAGCGTTCGTTGTCTCCTCGATCGAAGGCCGTGTTGCTGTTGAGTACGTGGAGCAGAACAGCGACCAAGTGAAGAGAAAGTATGCTTTCAAGTGTCACCGCGAGAAAGATGCGGATGGCACCGAACTGATTCATCCTGTTCACGCTGTAGCTTTCCATCCGAAATTCGGAAGCTTTGCGACTGGAGGCTCCGATGGAATCGTGAACATTTGGGACCCATTCAACAGAAAGAGAATCATCCAATTGCACAAGTATGTATCCTATAATATTTTTAAATACTTATTTTTCTTTCAGATTCGAAACTTCAATCTCATCACTGTCGTTCAATGAGGACGGAACCCAGCTCGCCATCGCTTCCTCATATCAATACGAGAAGGAAGTTGACCCATCTCCTGTCCCAAACAATACGATTACAATCCGTCATATAACTGAAGCAGAAAGCCGACCGAAGTAAAAAATCAGTGATTTAAATACTCGTCTCCTGTACCATTCGTTTCCATTTTACGGGACCGTGAATGTCTCTCAAATCTCATTGACCGATTCTCGGATTTTTCTCTTCTCCGTTTCAAACGTTTTTTTTCTCCCCCCATCGTCCCCACTAATTTTTGATATTCCACCTAATCGCCCTTTCGAATGAATTGAAATTGATTATGTAATGAAAGAAGTCGTTCTATGTCCTATATTCTCTCGAAGGATATAACGGAGATCTATCACCGGCTCATTTCTTTCCTATTATGGCGCCTTGAAAATACAAACATTATTGAATTCAGATGCCAAAAGGAGACTACCCTTCAATCGGTGAATATGCAGAAGCTCAGAAAAAGTTGGGAAGTTGCCTACCAGAATTCCGGGCGACAATGGTGAAATCTTTACAAATTGGGTCAACATTTGGAGTTCCTTTTGGACTCTATGTTGCTTGGAGGTTGATAAAATTACTTTTATTAGTTTTTTTTTCATAAATTGATGTTTTCCAGACAACACGGAACACATCTGAAGCCGTTCTTAGGCAAATCCTTCGCCACGTGGCTCACTTCGACGCTAACGTTCGCATGTCTGGGATTGATGGGAGGAACGTACAACTGTCTCCGTATCAAGTTCGAATAAATTATCTTCTCCACTTCTAGATTAGGTTTTTGTTGTCTTTTTTGGTTTTTTTTCTGTTGTCTTTGTAAAAATAAACGAGTTTTTCATCGCCACACACATTTTTGAAAACATGAAAATTTTTATTTGTGAGAGGAAAATTTGTGCTGATGCATGTAAAAACATATCGCTGTCGGTGCTTCTGTGATAAGAAGTTAAGAATTCGACGCGGTTTCTGAACACTGAACGTCCTTTTTTCACAATTTCAATAACTCGTCTCTTTGGCTACGGTTTTCGTGGCGAAACCTCTGACATGAAATTTGTCGCGCTCCTTTAAACTACAGTAGGCTGTCACTGCCAAATTGATTCAAACATTTTCAATAATGCTTTTCTCGCACTTTCTTTTCCTCTCAACAAGTGGTGACCCATTTTTTTAGTGTTGATTGTGGACAAGTCAAAGAAAATATTATCAATATTATCCTCTCAATTTCTCATCGGAGTCCTCTTCAGATCGCCTGTGAAGGCTGTTTGATGGTTAATTTTTTTTTTCTCCTGTACAAATTTTTTTTCGATTTTTTCTTGGTCCATCGATGAAAGCTGTAATGAAAATTCGGCACAACATCAATTAGTGATCAGCGCGCCAAACCGTTGTCAGTTTTCCTCTGATCACTAAAAGTGTACTTTGTCCTCCTTCGACTACTCACGTTTAGTCGCAAAATACAACCCACCATGAATACACCACTGATAAAATTGGTCTCGATCGAAAAATGGAATGGTTGCATCACATTTCGACTAGGATTTTCGAAATTCAGGGCTAGAAAGATACAATAGGATAGATTCCTTAAAAGGGCATTAGGGGTTAGTGGAAGAGTGAAAATAAAAACGAACTGATAACCTAGAAAGACTCTTGACCTCTATATTATGCCAATCATTTTTCAAAAACCCTTCAATCTATTTTTTTTCATGCCATCGTCGCAGACAACAGTTGGTGTCAGCCGACTCTGCAAAACAGAAATGAACGAAGAACGATGATCTTGAACCTTTATTCTTTAAGAATGTCTCTCATCAAAAGATGAAGAGGTGCAGAGAGAGAGAGAAGAGTTTAAATGAAAAGTGGTAAATATTTACCATAAAAGAGAATCAGATTAATTGACTCCTCCTCTTCAGTTCTTTACTTTCTTCGCCTTCTTCGTCTTCATGAGATAGTTTCTACAGGGAAAATGAAGACGACGAAGAACGTGCCTCTCTTTTTTCTCGTTCATCCATCTTCCCGCCCGGGCGGTCTCTCTCACCCTCTACTCTGCTGTTCGGTCTGTTAGGTCCGCCCTTCGCAGCCCCTCGAATAGTCTTTTCTATTCGCTGGCTTTGTTTTCTCTGACGTTCGTGGTCCCTGTGTTTTGTATTCTCAGGTTTTTCAGTACCAAAGGTTTTCTAAAAACTTTGTTTTAATGTTCCCAAAATCTCGTGCCAAACGTCCGAGTTATTATTCAAGTCTGACGGTGATGCGCTTTGCGGGCAAAACACTATTTAAAGGCGCACCATCGGTCTAAAAGCGAAGAAGCGAAATTTTTGGATAAGTGCATGCTCCTTTGATAACATACCTCACAATTAATTTATGCCTGATTTCGATTGTTTCATTATTTTATAAGGAAATTCGATTTCCCTCAATTTTTTTCTGCTTTTGTCAATTTTCGTCTGATTCTCATCAATCTTTAATCGAATTTGCTGATAAATTATATGAACAACCGAAATTTGGCCTAAATTAATTGTGAGGTACGATATTAAAGGCACATGTACATATTAAAAATAGCTTTTTTTTGCTTCTCGACCTGTGATGCGCCTTTAAATATAAATTTTCGGACGCAAAGTTCGTCTCTAAATTTTTACAAAGCTCTCTAATTTTGCCCGAAACGATACACACCTCCTTGTGAACTTTGAATTTTTTATTATCTTTGTTTACTGGATCTCCGAACCTTCTTCTCCCATATCTCTCTCGTTTGGTCACTCAAACATCGAATTGTTGCATCTTACTCCTCTGCTTCATTTCCCTCAGCTCTTCTTATCTCAAAGTGATTAGGTTTATTTTTTTTCAAAAACAATCCCGAAGCAACTGCTTCTTTCTTCTCCAGTAGGTGAAAGAATCCATGGCAAACATCAGAAATTGATATTGTCTCTTTCGCAAAAAAGAAGTAGTTCTCTACACTGTCTACGTTGTTTACATGCCCGTCTGAAACACTCCTTTCAACTGATTTCAAAAATAGATTGCCGAAGGTGTAACTTTGTTTATTTCTTCTCGTTCCACTTCTCGATTATTCCGAATCTTCCTCCTCACTTTTTCTCCAATTTTCAGACAATTTCTATTTTCAGATGACGTACGACTTGTCGCGACTGACACAAGACAACATTCCACACGATAATTCGGAGCCGTCACCCAAGCCGTTGGTACTTAATCAGTGGCCTGGGTAAGTCTTTCTACTTCCACGTGATATTGTTTTTCTATGTCTCGCCTACCAATTATTCAGAAAACATCATATTCTAAATAGTGATCTAGATTTTCAAATGACCAATCAGCTATTTTCAGCGTATCGGACCAAAATGGAAACACGAGTCACGAGATTCCCTCGCAACGTCGGCGATGCACAATCAGCCGATCTTCTTCGATTGACTCGATTTCTGGGGTTGGTTATTCAGAAACAATGAGAAGTCTCAAAACCATTATTTTTAGGAAGCCCTCCTCGCCGACTACTGTTCCTCAGATGAACTCGACAAGTTAAGCACAGCTCTCAGTGAAGTAAGCTTTAAAATTTACTAACAGTGATGAAACCTTGACAATATCTAATTTTCATTAAATCTCTAAAAAAAATTGAGTGATGGGATGGAATGGAACGGGGTGTACACTAATGTTGCAATTTGAGCGGCAGGGAATTCACGTGAACGGCAGACGGAGGACAAAGTCCACTCATCAGAAGAAGGCAGGAGGTGTATCTGCTTCTAATGAGGTCTCTCTTTGTACGCGCCAGCTGGAGGAGAACTGACAAAAAGGGCAAAAGTGACTGTGCACTATACTTGCAACCTGTCAAATGCCCTTATCGTATTTTATCGAAAATGCCTAGTTCAAATTTCAGTCTTTCTGAATAGTTTTAGCTTTGAACAATTGACAGGAAGTTGATAGATGTCCTGGTATTATCAAGCTCCAGGGAATTGACTATAATTCGAGTACTGCTGAACTCAGCTTGTTTTATTCCACGACCTCGGTTCCATCTTTATCAGTTATGAATGTATTATCAAATCAGGAAGTCATCCATCTCGACTTCCCTTGTCTTACACCACGTGGATGTTTGTATTATACAGAACAAGGCCTACTTTTGGCGGTCGTCAGACGTCAGTGTCTCTCTAGTATCATCCAATCAGTTGTATTGATAAAACTGCTTGAACAACAAAAACAAGAAGTATTAGTTTGGAGCAATTAGAGGGTATTTCAGTACAACCCGAAGCTATATAATGGATTGAGTGATATCATCTGCATAGTCTTTGGTCTGGTGTACTTTGCCCTCACAGCCGCCTCTGTTATCTTACTACTCCAGATCGATGGAACACAACAATACTCGACCACCAGTTGCGCATAGATCACAATTCAATTGATCGCCCAAAAACTGAAACTCTCTATGGAGCGTGTAGTGATCTGTGAATCGTTTGTAATCGGAGAGAACAAGATGATCAAACACAAACATATTGTGTTGTCATCTTGAAGGTGGAGTGAACGGAAGAAAGTTTTCTTAAAATTCTGTTCATACAGGTCTCTCGAGGAGTTGATCTTTATAGGCCTACAGCTAGAGTTGCCGCTCTGCTACCAGTTGAGCTACGGTGGCGCAAGCTATGGCGGTGGAACTATGAGATATATGCCTTCACAGTAAATTTCCTGGAGATATTTTCTGGAAACGCTGTCCAAAGCTGCAACTGTTTTCCAGATTTCCTGACTGGCCAAAATACGGTATCACTAGTTTTGAGCTCCAAAACTACATTCAATTGTTTTCAATCTCTTTCTGAACTGGAAGGAATGGTGTTCATCAACAATCATTTTTCGTCATCCATCTGTTATCAACTGTTTCCTTTCCTCTCTCAAATTTCTTCTGTTACATTTTCATTCTCTTTCTCTTTCGTAGTACCTACTGGACAAACAAATAAATCACTCTCCGGTACCCAAAAGTTGTTTTCGACTTTTCTTATTTCTTTTTCAAATGTCGACGATCGGTGGTGGCAACTTTGATGCTGACACAATATCCGCGCTGTGCAAAGCCACGATTGACTATTATGCCCAAGCCGTTGTGCCCTTCCTCGCTACCAGTTTGGGAGGAAAAGATAAGGTCTCTTTTTTCCTATGTGATCGTGACGATCAGAAATCTTAATTGGGAGAAAAACAAATGTGTGTTTGAAGAAGGAGGAGTGTGACTCTGAAAGGAGATTGAGAAAGTATATGAATGGGGGAATCTAAAGCAAAAATTGTATTACAGGTGTCTTCGGAAGGAAATAATGAACATTCTACCGCACTTCTCTACGACTTGTTCCAAGCACAATTGGCTCTCTGGACTTGCGCATTTTCACTGCTCTACTCGTATGCCTGGATGCAGCATCGCAAAAAATTCCTGCTCAGCATCGTAATACAATTCTATCTATATAGTTTTCTTATGAAAATCCATACTTCAGTTCATCGTGGTGCCAGTGACATTCACTCTGACATGCGCCATGTCTTGGCTTCTTTCCTGCATCGTCATCATCGGACGTATCTTTTCGACTCCCGTGGATTACAAGCACTACTTTGATTTGTCGCGTCATGGAGGTCTCGATTTCGGTAAGAGAAACATTCAGATGACGTCATTCTAAATATCAATTCCTATTCTAGATCGTGAATCAGTTTGCGAAGCTTTCCGGCAGCGCAGCATGTCCGGTGCTTCTTCTTCCTCCTTCCAAGACGAGTCGACTTTGCCAAAACCGTTGTGCAGAAGACACAGCTCACACACGTATGTCTTGAATCCATCTATTCTTTCGTTGAATTCGCAATTTTATTTCAGATCGCTCTGCAGTCGTCCTCCATCGGTGAACCGGAAGCTCTCCTACGTTTTCTCTCATCACAATCAGCAATCGCAATCGAACGAAGACGATAAAGAGAACTGAAGCCTTCTCCCAAAAAAAAACTTCTCAAATCATATACTAATTTTTTCTCGATTTTCTTATGTACATGGAACCCTCACTACCAATCAGAATTAAGCGGGTTTTGTTTTCTGTATGTAAATACGATATTCTTCCCATTCAAAAGTTGCTCCAGATTGTTTCTCCCTTCCAAAAAAAAGTTTTTTTTTTTGAAAAATAAATTATTTAAATGAACTTGAATGACGACCCGAAACAAGAACAATAAAAATAAAATTCAAAAAATTTAATCTTCTTTATACTGTGCTGGTGCCTCAATCGTTGGATCTTCCAATGCGGGAGTTTGGGTTTTGAACGAGAGCCACGAATTCCAGAAGAATGCGACGACTTGGATAAGGATCACTCGGTAGTTCAAAGGAACGAAATAAAAATTGATCAATTGAACTGCCGGCCATAGTCTCAAACTCGAAGTGTACACATCGTACCAGTCATTCTTCATTTTATCCACTGATTTGGAAAATGAAAATCCTTCTAGAAGACGGAGATTCACTAGAATGATTGCGTTGAAGAATGGACTGAAAATAGGAGGTTTCCAGTTCCATTATCTCGAGTTTCGTGTATTTTCACTCAGTTTTATCACTATCAAAATTCAAATTTCCGACTTTTTTGGCTAAAATTTTTATACCTTTTTAGGTTTTTCAGCTATTTTCAAAGATTCTTTTTCGGGTTTCCCGGTTTTTTTTCGTCTGAATTTTGATGGAACGTTTTTTTTGGTCACTGTAGATTACATTTTTGCATTTTTTGCAACCTTTTTTGTCTGCATTTGACGTGATTTTGCTTGCAAAAAACTACAAACTACAAGGTTTTCTACAGTAACCTACAGTAATCTTCAGTATTCGAAACAACTTTCCATGAAATTTCAGTCAAAAAATTCGGAAAAATCGAAAAAGAATCGTCAAAAACAGCTGGAAACCCTAAAAAGGTCTAAAAATTTGCAAGAAAAATCGAAGAAAAAAAGATTAACTTCTCGATTTTCGCGCATTTTAAAAAATTTTGTCATTTTTATGATTATCAAAAGGTTCAAGTATCCTTCTTTTTTGGAAAATAATAGAAAACTCGACAAAAAGCAATGAAAATCAAGAAAATAAATAAGGAGAGCTCCGATTTTTTTGATACGAGCATAATATTTACCTGAACATAAACTGATCAATTGACATTCGACTGAAGACCTGGGCATGCCGATTCGAGTGTCGAACCCTTTCCAAAACTCGAAACCAAACATTCAGTGGTGGAGCAATGAAGACAGCAGCGAGACATGTGAAACGGGCGGTTCTCTTGTAGTCCCATGATTTCTGTCCAGTCAAATACTGTGTGAAGGCGTCGCCTGCTCCACAAACTGCTCCAGATACAATAACTTGAGTCGCGAGAGGACGACGAGCTAGCGTTGCGTTGAAGGTTCGAAGGAGATTCATTTTCTGAAAAAAAGCTGAAGATATGGAAGTGGTTCGAAGAAGGATTAACGAAGAAAACGTCATTTTTCAGTATTTCTGACAATCAATTGAGTCGAATAAAATTCAAGAAAAAATATTATTTTTGTTTATTTATTTATGTTGAAACTCGTAAACAAGCTGCCTAAAATTTGAACTCGCACTTTTTTGTTACGCAAATTTGCAGACGAAACCTTCAATTTTACGACAATTCAAAAAAAGTTTCGGGAGATTTTTTTCAACCGAATTCTTAACACTCCACCGATTCCGAGGAAGGGGTGGAGTCTCGAATTCTTCTTTGTTTTTCCTTGTTTCAAAATCGAATTTTTACCCAATTTTAACAGTTAAACCAATTTTAATAGCAAAAGTCTGTCAGAAAATCGAATCAATAAATAGCAGAATTCTCCGATTCGAAGATCGTGCAATCTTATCGCATAGAGAACGGTCTCGCCGCTTTGATAGCCTCGATATCTTGATAGCGACTGCAGTCTCAATAACTTTAACGATGGGTTTCTAGAAAAAAAAAATGCTTCATTTGATGGTTTCTCTCCCAATTTCGGTCTTGTCAAGAACAAGTTCGAAATGTGTCGAAACTTTATGCAGAAAAAGAGAGATAGACAGTGAGAGAAAACAGACGGCATAGAATTTCTAGTGCAAAAACGGAAAAGGAGTAAAATTTTTTCGAAAACATTTAAAAAAAGTCCTAAAAAACTGAAATTCATATAGTAAGACTGGTAAAGGCACAGTTTGTGACAACATTAAATAAGCACCTAGTGTTCACAGCTCACAGTTCAAAGATCAACAATTTTTCTTGTCCTAAAATTTTTGTTATTGTTTTCTCCTCGTTTTGTTTGTTCGTTCTCTTCACGTTTTCTCCATGTGCGTCCTTCGAAAGTCCAATGTTGCGGTTTTGACCTAAATGGAATTCAATGGAATCACAATTACAGAGCAGTTTTCAGATTCTTCCAAAGCCAACCGCCTGTTGACGCTTGCAAAAATTTACTAAAACCAATTTTTCTCATGGCTGCACTCCTACCCATTCATAAATCATATCGATACGTTCTGCGGGCCCACATGTTGCTCTAAGCCGTCTTCTTTTGTTTCTAATCCGCCGATGAAGGGTGCCTATCCTAATACTTTGTTGATATTGAACTTTTACCGAACATGTCACACACACACACAGCCGGTTCGCTTTGGGCAGTTTTCGTTCCTTCACCGCCTCTCTGTTTCTCTTCTGTCTCACACTCAGCTCTTTTTACAATTCGAAAGAAAGGATGGATGGATTGGAAGGGTGCCGGGTGTCGTAAAACGACAGACAGAAGGAGAAGGTCAGCAAGAACGCATACATAAAATGCAAACGACGTTTTCTTCTCCATTGGGTAGACGGCTGGGTTGAAAATAATACCATTATTTTGTTGTCAGATTACAATTTTCTTTGATCACTCAAATTGTCGAAATTTCGAAATATTCCGATTTTTTATATTTCGGAATCCTCCTTTCTCATCTCAAAACCACAAAAAATTGACAAACAAATTTAGAAAACGCAAAAAAAAATATAAAAACAGTTCCGCTCGAAACCCGCAAGAAGACTTTTTGTGTGCGCCTTTGACATACTGTAGAATTTCAAAACAATTCAGAAAAAAAAACATAATTCTGTAGGAACTTATTCCGAACATAATCGGAACTCCGAATTACGTTCCGAACATCCCTGATAGAAATTTCTACTGAAGTTTAGTAAATACATTTCCTGAGTTCTCCGAATACTCTCACTTCAAAATTCGAAAACAATTGTATTCTTTCCACATGCTTCTCCTTTTCTCTCTTTTCTTCTGTTCTTCTTGATGGGTCGGTCCGCAACTATCTTATTTCACTACTTTATTGCCTGCGATCTATTTATTTGGTTCAATTGCTTCTACTCCTTCTTTTTTCTTCTCAATCCCTCTTTCTAATCCTCATGTTCCAGCTTCCAAAATGGCGGGCGGTGCTGTCATCGAAAATCTGAGTAATCGAAAACTGTTCGTCATAATCGCAGGTCTTCTTGCAGTTCAGATTCTCTTTTTCTTAGTTGGCGTCTGGTATGGTGAGTTTTAGTACTAAATCGAATTCTGAACATATTCCAAATTTCCAGCTCCATCTCCATCTTCTTACATGGAATTTGAAATGATCTCGTGTCGAGACGAAACAAAAGGCCTCTCAGGAGAATGGATTCACAGAGATGTAAATAGACTGATAGCTCAAGGTTATTAAAAAAAACAAATTTTCAGAGCTGTCATCAAATAGAAGAGCTCTCGGAATTCACGCCATCTTCGTTTGATCTTCGCGAAATTGTGTTCATCGCTAAAATGCCTCATGCAAGGTGGGCAATCGAATTTCCACCACTTGAAAAGTTTATATTATGCATTACAGAGATGGAATCGAACTGGAGTACTCTCCATGGTTCCAGTTCTTGCTCGGCGTGCTTCAAATCGAAGTAGAATACAGTGAACACTTCAAATACGTGCCACATGCACAAATTGAATTGGAAGTTCGTATGGGATATCGAGAGCATGCGTCGAAGAAAAATGACTGGAAAGAGCTAGCAACATCAAATGTCACACGAATTCTCGAGTGTACCATTGCAGAAGAAGACGTTAGTTATTCATATGAAATTTCACCCTAACAGTTGTCTTCTAGAAAAAAGACGGTGGAACCTACAATTGCGACATGCTGGATTTGTTCGAACTCGGTTCAAGTTCCTATCCTTTCTACCTTGTCAACATTCGCATTCCAATTGATCAGCATGCTTGTCAATACAATCCAAAGAATCCTAACTGCCAAATCGGTAAACTCAGCGGTCTGCGACTCATCGAAATTCATCAGAATGGAGGTTTCACTCTCCTCTGGCTTTGGACAAAGACTCTGATGACTCCAATTGTGGGGGCTTGTCTTTGGTGGTATTATAATAGAGTACGTTTGATTGAACTATATCTGATATAATAAAAAGTGTTTTTAGATTAATCAACTCGCCCGAAATCCACTTTTGCTGGAACGCGCCATTCTTTATCTCGGTCTAAGTCTTGCAATTCTAGATTGTAAGTTATATTGTTCTCGATTTTCCTTTTTATAAAATTTCTACTTCAGTCCCAATCGAATGGATCTCACTGACTCACCGATTACCGTTCCTCCTTCTCGTTTCCGATCTTCGTCAAGGACTCTTCTATACCGTTCTTTTCTCCTTCTGGCTTATTTTCGCTGGCGAACACCTTATCGATGATACGACCAGAAACAATATTGTATGCCCCTTGATGTAGAATTTACAACTTTTTTTCTCATCTATTTTCAGAAGTCCTATCGATTCAACCTATCGTTCATCATCATTGCTTCAGGTGCTCTTCTCATTTACGATCTCATCGAACGTGGTGTCCAACTCTATGATCCATTCTACAGTGTCTGGTCATCTCCAACTGGATCTCAAATCGCATACGTCGCTATTTTCATATCTGCCATTTGCACAGTTGCATATTTTGGTTTTTTGCTATTCAAAATCGTGCGAGTCTGGACAACAATCAAACACAAACGCAGTGCTCAACTATACCAGACGAGTGAGAATCGGCGACTAAAAGTGGAAGGTGTCATCTACAGATTCAAATTCTTGATGTTGTTCACTGTCCTCTGTGCGGGATTTACCATTCTCGCCTACTTCATGAAACAATATGGAGAAGCACAACTTCACGGAGATGAGGCTAGAAGCGGATTTCTAACAGGAAGTACATCTGCATTCTTCACTGGAACATTTGGGATGTGCAACATTTACGTGCTAATCTTGCTCGCGATGTATGCACCATCACACAAACATTACCGAGGAGCTACTCGTAAGATTTCCGATTTTTCAGCTTTCTTCTGTATATATTAGTTTCAGAACTCATTGACGAAAACGACGACGAAATCATCGATGACCCCTCCAACCAACACACTGAATCAAACGCCATGACGACGTTCCTCAAACCGAGTACTGATTAGACAATGTATATTTATGTGCCTTCTGTTGTACCATGATTCTCAACAATCTCTCCTAATTGCATAATGGCTTTACCCTTCTTATCAGTGCTTTACGATGATGCTCCGTTGTTTTTCTTGTTTTATTGATATATTGAATACAATTCTTGATTCCAACACACAGAAATCCTTTTTTGAAGCGCACACTTTACATTAATCATTTAGACGAATTTCAGACACTATGATGTTTGGAAGAAATAACTTTCAGAAGTTAGAATACGATACGAAAATTTTGCAGAAAAAAACAGAAAGGATTACTGGAATGAAAACTATAGAATCCGTATTATTCAGGTACAAATAATGCGATCTGCCGAAGAGAAACGCCGGTACCCGTGGTCAAAGGTTACACAACGATAACTACCGTAGCCTAAACATTTAGAAATTTTTCGAAAGAAAAACTTATTTTCTATTTGATTTTTTCGCGAAATTTTTAGACCTTTTTGGTTTTTCAGCTATTTTCAAAGATTCCTTTTCGATTTTTCCGGTTTTCTTTGTCTGAAATTAGATGGAAAGTTGTTTTGATTACTGAAGCTTACTGTAGATTACTGTAGAAACCTAATTTCCTTTTGTATTTTTATTGCAAACACAATCACGTCAAAATGCAGATAAACGTGAATTTGCTTGCAAAAAAACCCATAAAATATAAGGTTTTCTACAGTAATCTACAGTAATTCTACAGTAATCTACAGTTTTGCCAAAAATGGTAAAAAGTCAATTATTTTCTCGATTTTCTTGCAGTTTTCATCACTTTTCTAAATATCAAAAACTTTGAATTTGAATTTATGAATAGTTAATTTATAAAAGTTATTTTCCTCTCAAAAAGGTTTATCCTAATCAACTTATTACCGAATGAACATATCTATGGAATTCGTAATCTTATCCTATATCTGTCCTCTAGATAAACTCAACTACCTTCTGGTTTTGACCGATTATCTTTTGGTTTCCATTTCACTTTTTCTCTCTCTCTCTCTCTCTCTCTCTCTCTCTCTCAATGTTTGATCAGAGTTCATTGTTTGAATAAATATTTTGATTTCAAATTTTTAATTAAAACATTTTTTTAAGATTCCGATTACTAGTTTCCCTTTCTTCTAATCGATCAGAGAAGCCAACTCAATTAATCAACTCTAAATCAAACAGTTTAGTTTACAAAAGTCAATTCTCGTTATCAAAAATAAGTTAAGCCTCTATTAGAAGGCCTTTACTTGCACTTTGAGCTTAATTATCTCGATATCTATAAGAAATGTACAAAACCTGCCAAGTGATAAAGAAAATCGAGATAATTGAGCTCAAAGTGCAAGTATAGAGTGGCCTTCTATTACAGTGTTTACGGTAATCTAGAAAACTTCAATCAAGGTTGAAATAAAAAAAATGCATTTAGTGGAAACTGCATTTTCAAAACTTCAATACTCCAGAGTAGTATCGAAATTTGAATATAAAATCTTAATAGTTCTGCACTGTTCGTTCTCACTGCTATTCTCGAAAGTACCATTTTACTGCCTTTCTCTCTGTCTCTCTCCATCCATCTCGATAACCTCCAAAATACTTCCTCGTAACGAACGATTCATTCTCTCGTCGGTCATCTCCTCTATCTCTTTTCATTTTTGTTACACATTCCATCTCTAGGTTTTTTTATTCTTTTCACAACTATTTCTCGTTTGAACTTTTTATTACACTTTAGACTAGAGTTTCCAGTTTTTCAATCAAAAATGAATTTCAGTGAAATGGCTTGGAGTACTCCAACAATTGAGTTCACAAAAAGTGTGTTCTTTCCCGGAGAACAGGTGACAGGTAGAGTATGGGTCCAGACAAAAAAGGATATGACTGCTCGAAATGTGGAAATCACATTTATGGGGCTAACAGTCACAGCATGGAGAGTTGATGGAGAAAGAAGGAACCGCCCGGTTGAAGACTTCGTTCAAAAAAAAGCAGAAGAACTGTTTCTGGAAATGAAGCATGTTGTATGGACTCCTGAAGACCATCATGTGATAATTAATCTCTTTTTCTTATGGAACTTTTTTTTTCAGAACAACTTTCCTGCTGGCGACTACGAATGGAAGTTCTCGTTTGATCTTCCAAAGGAATGCCCAACAAGTTTCGAAGGAACTTTCGGCTTCATTCGTTATTTTGTTCGCGTCCATATTGATGTTCCAAATTGGTTGGATACAAAAGTGGACAGTGCGGTTACAGTATCCCCAAACATCGATCTGAACTCTATTCCGGGTGTCAATGAGCCTGTGGATATTCAAGTTGAGAAGTTCAACCAGAAATGTGCTTGTCTCCCATTCCTGGGGAACAATGGATTGGTGTGTTACACAGTGAGTTAGTTTAATTATCATGTGAAGTTTTGAAAAATTCTTAAGGTCAAATCGAGAAAAAACCTGTATTTTTCTTCAGATCCAATCTTCAAAACTTGGTTATGTCGCCGGTGAAACTGTCTCTGTTAAAGGGGCAATTGAGAATCGATCTTCAAAAACGTTGAGTGAAATTGAAGCAATATATAAACGAAGAGTTATATATCGAAAAGATTTGTCCAATGATATCTTCAAACCTCGCCGAGATATGGACAGTGCTTCAGACTCATACAACAGTAAAAAAGAGGAAATTGTGATGCAAGCAGTTACCGAACAATGTGACATTGAACCAGGGACCACAAAGACGTTCTCATTTTCATTCACTGTTCCGCCCGTGGTTGCAACAATCAGAAGTTCCAAGTTTGTGAATGTTGAATACTTCATCACCGTGGCAGCAGATAGACAGTACTGTGATTCCTCGGAGATTCCAACGTTCAATTTGATAGTTGGAAATGTGCCATTACTCGAAAAAGATTCCAGTTTAAGTGAGTTTGGGAAACTTCAAATGGTACATACAGTACCGGTCAATAAGATAAAACGTATTTTTCAGTTGGTTTTCGGTCATTTTGGCCATTTTGGCCATTTTCAGAAGTCTGGAGCTTGGCTGTCAAGTTTCCGATCGCTTTGAAAATTTTGGAGGGTGTGATACAGACCTAGATTGAAAAATTGGAATTTACAGGATTTTTTGAAAATTCTTAGTTTTTCAACTATTTTCAGATTTCTGAAAGAGATCTGCTTTTTTCATGTTTCAGTACAAAAATAGAAACAAAGTGGGTGTCCGTCATAAATCGGCAATGAACTCAAAAGCTAAGTTTATTCAAAAACGTCGTGAATGCAGTTTTCAATCTAGATCTGTTTTACACCCTCTGAAATTTTCAAAGTGATCGGAAGCTTGACAGCTTCAGACTCCCGAAAATGCGACAAATAACCGAAAATCAACAGAAAAATGAGGTTTTGTATATCTTATTGATCGGTACTGTATGACTCAAATTTTTCAGTTCCTTCCCATAAATTCGTCAAAGCTGATTCTGCGAAGTGCTGGTCGACACTTTTGAAACCAAAATTCCGTTATCAAGTTCCATATTACGGGCATTCAGAAGCTGCATATCATTCCGAGGATAGTGACTAAAGTTTGAACTTTTGTGATTTTGATAAATGAATTGGTTTTAATACTGGTAATTTGATATCCTCTTCTTCTTCTTCGAAAGTGTTCGATCAAATATCATTAAGATGAATCCTCGCGTTCTCAGAATATGCATAGAGATTTATACGAATTAGTATAGTATGATCACGAAATTTGAAAGTTCACACATTTCCATACCTCTGATTTCCAAAAAGAATATATCATAAAGTACAATGCATTCCATTCATACATATTGGTTGTTAATCACCTAATTAATGCCTTATCAAATCATGTGATTTACCATTTGGAATTCTTTGATCAGATATAATACGTACCAAGACACCCTAATTCTTTTGATAGCATTTTTTCGAAATATTGTTGTCTCTTTTCTTCCGATCTGCCCTACCCATTTTTTGTCTCCCTGTCGACAAGGGTTGACCTCAAAAACCTATCGCTTCCGCATTGTCCATTTTTCATTTCTGCATCTCTTTTCTTGCCAGAATCTCACTTTCTTTTCTCCTTTTTTATTGGTTTTTCTTTTTTCTGTTGTTATTTAGTTTGTTGAAAGAAATTTTTATACAAAAACCTTTATTCCAGCATAATTGTAAACGGGGCCCTGGCGGGCCTTCGTGGGTTCTACCATAGTTTCTTTCAGAATCGTAATTTTTGGACCTACTAAATTTGGTATGATAGAATTTGACAAGTACTACGAAATTATACTATTTCAAACGTTGTATCTTGTCAATGAACACAGTTACGAGCCAAAAACGGCCTGAGCCAAGCGGTCACAGCTTAATGGCTTGTAACTTTGACAAGATACGGCGTTTCAAAATATAATATTTTGTAGAACTCGTTGAATTCTATCATACCTAGTTCAGCTAATTTAAAAAATTGGTTCTATAAGTAACTATGACCCGCGAAGATTCGCCAGGGTCCAGTCTACAAGTATGATTCCAATAATTTCAGGAATAATGGCATTATGTCAACCAGAAATAGAATTTGAAAAGGATGTTTATCTTCCGGGGGAAGAAATCACCGGACGAGCATGGGTATCAACTACCAAGGATATGAAGGCGAAGAGTGTAGAAATCACTTTCACCGGAAAAGCTATCAACGCTTTCAAAATAGGGTGGGAAAGCCGACGAAAAAAATGCCCAAATCAGATCGAAATAGTATTTTTACAGAAAATCCAACGTATCCAAAGCTGGAAAGAAAAGTGAAGATGTTTACGTGGAGATGAAACATGAAGTGTGGGCTCCGGAAAATGAAGAGGTGATTTTCAACAGTTTCATACTATAATTCGACTAATCATTCTAAATCTTTGATAGACTGATAAAATCGAAGTTAGTCGTTTTAGAATACGTTCCCAGCTGGAGACTACGAATGGAAATTCTCTTTCGAGCTTCCGAAAAATTGTCCACCGAGTTTCGAGGGGAAAGGCGGGTTTATCCGTTACTCGGTACTTCTTCATATGGATATTCCAAATTCGAAACAGATTAATATTGAAAGGGCAGTAACTGTCTCCCCAATCATTGATCTGAATAATATTGCTGAGGCTGGAGAGCCAACGAAAATGGAATTGAATTCCACAGTCTCCTTCTGTCACTGCTTTCCATGTCTTCCGAGTCGTGGATCTGTTATTTACGAAGTGGGACTACTGTAATTCCATTTTCCTTTTTATAATAGAATTTTCAGTTGGCTTCTCCAAAGCTTGGATATGTCTCAGGAGAAACTGTAATTATTAACGGGCGTATTCATAACAAGACATCCAAACCAATTCGAATCATCCAAGCGAAACTTAACCGTTTGGTTACATATCGTGAGGAACTTCAGGGCAAGAACAAGAAGAGAAACCCAGCAAATGCAAAAGGATTCAAAAGCCAGGCCGAAAAAACAGTACTCGAAACCAAAATTGAAAGATGCCAAATTCAACCAGATGAGATCATGCCATTCGAGTTCTCATTCGTGATCCCACCTGTGGTTGCTACAATCAGAAACTCGAAATGCATCAATGTGGAATACAATGTTTCAATTTGGGCAGATACCGGATTCTGCAACAAGATTGAGGATGCCTCTTTGAATATTCTTGTTGGCAATGTTCCATTGGATCCAAGTTCTTGTAAGTTTTAATATTTCAAATGCTCTTTATGTCTCATAAATTATAGTAGCATCTCAAAAGTTCGTCGATGGAAACGCTGCGCAAAGCTGGAAAGTTCATCTGAAACCCGACTTCACTTATCAAATCCCGTACTATGGAATCTAAAAATTCGCTTTCTTATCTTTCTCAAGATTGTTGCTTCCTGTATGACTCACTCTCGAATTTTCTTTCATATAAAACTTTTCAAACTTTTTCTTATTCCTATGTCTCTCTTCTTTTTAAATAACGTTTGATAATGTTGATAAAAGTTGATTTGATTTCGTTCATGAAATATAGTTGTAATTTGATACAGAACAGAGTGTTTATGATATTATTCTGTTACAAAAATATAATTATGGAAGAGAAACGCCGGTGGCCGGGGCCGAAGGTCTCAAAGCGACAACTACAGTAACCTAGAAATATTTTTATTCTCAGGATTTTATTTCTCGTTTTTTTACTGATTTTTCTCGGTTTTCGATACTTTTTGTCGAGTTTTCTGTTATTTATTGACTGAAAAAGCACGAAAATCGAGATAATAAATCTTGAAAATGAAAATATTTTTAGGTCACGGTAGTTGTCGTTGTGGAACCTTCAGCCACGGTCACCGGCTTCTCTCCACATCTTTGGTTTTCCGAACCAGGGTAATACCGCAAAAACCGTTCAATATTATTACTGATTCTCTGAAAACCGTTACGAAGGTTTTTCCTCTCGGTACATAAGCTCGTTTTATGCCTCGAAGAGCGTTTCTCGAATAGCTCCCTTTTCCACCCCTCATTTATTTGAACCCTTTTCTCATTTCGTCTCCGGCTCCCAACACCAGAAACCGAGGGCAGTCTGCGTGCTTCTTTTAGTTGAACTAGAGAGTCGCCGGCGCCCTCTCTCCACACGTTTTTCTCTTCATTCCTAAGTCTCTCATTTAACAACACTATTTCTCTGGAAAAAGAGAATGCAAGGCTATCCATTCGTTCCCTCTCTCATTTTTCCCTTGTTCCATTCCGCGTTTTTCCCTTTTTTTCCAACAACACCCTTGACCGTTTTCTTTGTTTCAGCACTTCCGCGTCCTTTTGATGTTCAGTTTCTGGAATTTTAGCTACTTTTAAAATTACACTTCGAGATGCTACAAATAAACTAAACTATTTCACATACTCTATTCAACAACGTTCTGATGTTGTTTCTGTTTCGTTCTAAATATTATCTCTCGTGTCGCTTTTCAGAGAATCGGTGACAATAATGTACGGTTTTTGTAGTATAAAGTGCATTGTATATTATTCTGGTAAAAATTGGAACACCGGGGAAAAATCGCAGTAGGGCCATAGCGGCAACTACTGTAACCTAAAATTTTTTAATTTTCCGTATTTAGTTTCTCTTCCACATCTCCGGCTTTTTTGTACCTGAATAACTGAAAAAAAACTGAATTTTCCGCTTTCCATTTATCTACTCCTCGCTTCTCGCCTCATTTTCTATTAGAATCTCCCAGTTGCAGCTCTCGAATGCCGGACGCCGCGCTCCATGTGGAGTTTGACCAGCCGCAAGAGGTTTTCTTCCCTGGTCAACCAATTTCTGGACGTGTCATCTTGGTCACTGAAGACAAGTACAAAGCAAGAGCTGTGAAGATTGAATTCGAAGGAGTCGGACACACGAATTGGGATGACTATGAGAGCGTGAGAAGAGTGTAAGTCATCGAAAACACCGTTTCAGAAGGAAGAAGCTAAAATATTCGCATCAAAAATTTTTTTCAGGGATCATGAGGGAAAGGTCCGGTACGTCCAACACCGTGTGAACTACTCTGCAAACGTCAGTTATCTCCAGAACACCGCTCTTCTCTGGACTTCTCAAGATGGATCGGTATAGTACATTCGAGAATGTTCTGTTTTCAAAAAAATAATTTTCAGAATGAGTTGCCTTCTGGAAAATACGAATGGCTATTTTCGTATACGCTTCCATCGAATATTCCACCGAGTTTCGAAGGAAAATACGGTTACATCAGATATTCAGTGAAAGCAGAAGTTGATAGACCATGGAGATTTGATAAGGCAAAGAAGCTGTGCATCACTGGTAAAAAACGATATATCATATTTTTCGATTTCAACTGAGTTTATTACAGTATCCCCATTGCTCGATCTTAATGTGATCCCAAATGCAATGACTCCTCTTCATGACCAATCCGCCGAAAATCTTGGATGCTGTTGTTTTAAAAAAGGATATTTGGAGATGCGAGTTGATATTCCAAAAACCGGATTCGTTCCCGGAGAAACTATTTCCCTCAATCTTCATCTTCTCAACAACTCAACTGTTCCAGTCACCGAAGTTAAAGCAAAGATCATTCAGCAGTGCAATTTCGTTGCTTTCCGTGGTGGAAGCAACTTCAATTTCACGGGAGACAGTGTAATGGCAGTTTCGCAAAGAGAAACCAAGCAGGATGCGAATACTGTTATCAAACAAACTCAAAAAATTACAGTTGAGCCAGGAAAAGAGCACAAGTTGGCTTTGGAACTTCGCCTTCCATCTGTAACTCCATCCATCAGCCAGTTCTCTCCAGTCATAACAGTCGACTACCTCGTTCAAGTAACCGTTGACACATCATCTACCTTCGGAAGTGATATTGATTGTGAGATGGGTGTGTTGATCGGAACAGTTCCAATTCGCCAGTATCTTCCACCGGCCTACTATCCACCAAATCCAGCTATTCCGCCAGCTATGCCAACTCCAATTCCGCCTTCGATCGGAGCCGGTGTAGCTCCCCCAGGATATGGGTTCGTACCTCAAGAAGATTCTGTTCCCGCTGATATTGGAGCCGGTGACGCTCCACCGTATCCAAATGGAGCTACACCATATCAGACTAAAGATGATACAATCGCCATTCCAAGTGGTAAAACAGATTCAGTCCAAAAGCATTACGATTTGAATGATTTTCAGCTCCACCACTTTCCTACCAAGACTCCATGTATGGAACTGATGGAACACAACTCAACACCGATGAAAACGAGAAACCATTCGTTCCAAAATACCCAGTGTTCAACGATTTGCCAGTTTACAACCCGTCTGCTCCACCACAAGAATAATTATTTTGATTTTTTTTTCACCAAATTTCTCATCCTGCTTGCTAACAACTTTTATGTTCCAAGGTCCCATACTGCTTTTTCTTGCTATCACTCTTCTTGTTCTTCGTGTGCTAAATTTTACAAACAACGAAAAGTATTAAAACTAATTTATAAACATGAGTTGCCTGTTTCTTTTTAATTGGACGGAATAAGAGATAATAGGCTTTTTTGTAGAATCAGAGACTTCCGGAATTCCGACTTTCGACTTCCGGAAATTTTTCGGTTCCCAGTTCCGAATTCGATAATTCGGTTCTGATTTCCGAATTCCAAATTACGAATTCAAAAATTTCACTTCTCTGTAGAAGACTTTCCCAGAAATATTGACGTTCGAAGTCTTCTGAATCTCTTCTCGTGGTTCAATTCATCAAAGAGTCTTTATCATGAGGAACAACAACTGTTTCGTATAAAGATCAACCATTTTGGTCATTTCTATCGAAACATTCATTTGTCCCTCTTTTCCATTCTCTAAACTTATTCTATTTTTAAGATGCCCGAACCAGAACTCCTTGTAGAATTCGATCAACCCCAGGAAGTTTTTCTCCCGGGTAATCCTATTTCTGGTCGTGTCATTCTTATGACCTCTGAAAATTACAAAGCCAGAGCTGTTCATCTGAAATTAGATGGTCGTGCTCACACCAATTGGCATGAATATGAAACTGAAAGACACACGTGAGTCTGAAGTTTCTGAAAAACTTCCTTAAAACGAACAAAATTTCAGAGATGGCAACGGAAATACTGAGAATCGTCAGAAAAAGGTTGATTACTCAGCCACCGTTAAATACCTCGAGACCAAGATCCTCATTTGGGCATCTTTTGATGGATCGGTATTTCTATAATCTCAAACCTCGCTTAATGTTCTTATCATTTTTTAGAGTTGTCTGATCCCTGGCACATACGCATGGCCTTTTTCTTATAGACTTCCCTCTAACATTCCACCAAGTTTTGAAGGGAAATACGGTTACATCAGGTACTCGGTGACTGCGGAAGTTGATCGACCCTGGAGGTTTGACAAAACATCTAAAAGATGCATTACTGGTAACTGGGAACGTTTAATGCCGTATGAATTTAATGTTTCAGTGTCGCCTATGCTTGACCTAAATTTCATTCCAAATGCAATGACTCCTCTTCAAGACCAAGCCAGTGAAAATCTGGGATGCTGTTGTTTCAAAAAAGGATATCTGTCTGTGAAGTTAGACGTACCAAAGACTGGATTCGTTCCTGGAGAGACTGTTCCTATCAACCTTCATATTGTGAATAAATCATCTGTAAATGTGACTATGGTTACTGCAACAATCATCCAACGATGCACTTTCATGGCATATCGAAACGGCACCGCATTCAATTTTACAGAAATTAGTGGAGTAACCCGAGGAGAAGTTAAACTAAACTCCAACACTGTCATAACACAAACCCAGCCATTGACAGTTGAACCTGGAAATTCTCATAATTTGGCATTGGAACTCCGTCTTCCGTCTGTAACTCCAACCATCAATCAGTTCTCCCCAGTCATCACAGTCGAATATTATGTGGATGTCAGCGTGAATTCATCGACTACTTTTTTTCAGTAGTATTGATTGCGAAACATCAATTTTAATTGGAACAGTGCCCATCCACCAGTATCTCCCTCCCTCATATTATCAACCAAATCCCACACTTCCGACTCCTTCCCCAATCGGAAATGGAGTCGCTCCTCCACCAGACTACCCATCTAGCCCTAATTCTCCACCATACCCAGAAGTGTCTTATCCAGTTAAGATAGATGGAGTTGTCCAGCCAAGCGGTAAGTTTTCAATAACTTATTCACATGAAAGAAATTAATATCCTTTCAGCTCCTCCACCATCCTATCAAGATTCCATGTACGGTACAGATGGAACTCATATTCATACAGAGGAGCACAAAAAACCATTCGTTCCAAAATATCCTGTTTTCCACAACTTGCCAGTTTATAACCCTTCTGCTCCACCACAAGAATGATAATTACGAAGCTCAAAATCTTTCAATCTGTCATATCGGGATTAAATTTTAATTACCCGAATTTATTATGAACACCTCAAAGAATTAATTAATTTAGATGAATGACCCATAAAAAACTTTTTAATCAGAGTTGCACGGACAGAAAAATGTTTTATACGGACAACGGATATGGACAACGGACAGAATATTTTTCTCACGGACAAGGGACAGCGGACAACGGACAAAAAATTTTTCACGGACAACGGACAGCCAAAAATGTCCGGACAACGGACACTGGACACCGGACAAAATTTTCCAAAATCGACAATTTTTTGCTGAAAAAATAGGATCTACCGATGGAGAATAACCATGGAAAAGAAAATCGGAGCTCATCCACCATTTTTACTGTTTTTTTTAACGGAAAATTTGAATTTAAATTTTTCTGGTAAACGGACGGACAAAGACAATTTCTACGGACAATGGACACCGGACACCGGACAGAATATTTTTTCCACGGACAGCGGACACGGACAACGGACTGTCCGTGCAACACTGGTTTTAATCAACCATAACTAAAGCAGTATTTTTCAAAGAAACAAAACAAATTTTGTATTCAAAATGGAAAGATAAACAACGGATAGAAATCACTTGACAAAAAAATGTTTCATTTCCTAATTGAACAGATACTGTCTACTTCAATTACTTTCTGAATCTCTTTGAAACAAAAACAAGACACGAGAAGTGATAGAAAACCACTTGAGTGGTCAATTGCCTTTTTCGGTGTATCGGCAATTTCAAAGTAACTACCGGAAACCCTGTGATAAAAGGTCCGTATGATTTTTAACTTTGAGTCAGTTTTTCTCGGTTCCTGTCAAAGATATGAACAAAGTTGTCCACTGATAATTTGTTGACCATAATATCAGAAGTGTTTTGTCAGTTGACACATGTATGATATCTTGCATAGGAATTGAGAGATTTGAGCTCAAACTTGACGGTGCGGGAGCGTAGACGTAGGGGTTTAACATTTGAACGATGATGAACTTCGGAGGAGCAATCAGACCTTATTTATTTTTTACTGCATAATATTTAAAAAGTCATGTATATCCTTAGGATTATTGCGAAAAAAAGCCGAAATTCCCGAAAAAAACAACTATCGACCACATTTAAAAAAGGCATCCTGCCGCTGTGGCAAAAGGTTTCTCACTGCGCGGGAATTCAAACCCCGGTCCCTATTCGACACCCTTTTTATTTTCAACTGTGTTTTTCGAGGATTTCCGTTTATTCTCAACTTTTCGCAATAATATTAGGTGAATACACAGATTTTGAAACATTTCAATGCATGGGAAAATTTGATCGGAGTACCCCATTGAAAGAAGCAGACAGAACATCATTTAAAATTCAGAGTAAGGAGAAACAGTGGAAAGTTTAAACTTCATAAAAACGTACAATTTGTTTGTCTGTTCATCATGAATGACTGCTCTCGACTCAAATATTTATGTCTACATTGTTGTGCATTTTCCCTCATTTCAGATGTTAGTACTCCGAATATTTATTGATATGTTGTTTGGGTGAGCTTAGAAATTTCTGGTGGTAGAAGTTGAGCTGAACCCATCCTGAAAATTTCCTTTTTGTCAGATTTTTTTAAAAACCACATACCGTAAACACTTTAATAGGACGCCAAATTAAACCGTCAAATTTGAGCCCATATATCTCAGCTCCTGAGAAAGAAATCAAAAAATAGTATGTTGCTGAAATGTTGCTGATATTGTGATAAACATTTTGTTATTTGATCACTTTTTGATGTCTTTCGCAAGAAATCAGATATATGGGCTCAAATTCGACTGTTTTTTAGAGTGTTCACTCATTCATGAAAAATTATGTATTTCATTTTTACATGGTCATAAAAATTTTAATACTCTAAGCATGCCGGCAGTTCATGGACTTTTTCAAGTACTCGCACGACTTCTCCTTCTTCGTCTTTTTCCAAAAAGAGGTACCGAGAGTGAGACGATGACAAACAGGAAGAAGATGAATAAGTGAAAGAAAATAAGAAGAAAAAGAAAAAGAAGAAGAAGAAGCTGTCCGAACTGAAGGGCATATTACGGGAATTGAAATCGTGGTTAGTTGCCTGTCTGAATCGCGGCAGATGGTTCTATAATAATAACTATCCAATCCAATATACTGCGTCGGGCGGTTGTTGCGTTTTTTTTGTCAAGTCGATTATAAATTGAAATAGATCTCCTGACATTTCATCGATCATTCGACAACAGTTCTTCTTCTTCGGACTTCTTCTTCTTCGTGGAGGTCTTCTGTTTTCTTCTTCTAGGATCATCTCCCTTTTGTCATCCACACATGAATTTTGGAGTCCCTTGTGACCCCTCGATGCACAGCTGAGCAAGCAAGAATTGAGTGAACTTTTTACTTTTTTTCGACATATCCTCTCCACACTTTCTTGTCTTTTTGGTAAACTGATATTCTGGGTCAGATGTACGAAATCTGATTTGGGGTCAAGTGAAAATGGGTTTGATGGAATTTTGAGTTGAGAACACATTTTTCAGAGAATCAGCAGATCTAGGATTTTAATTTTTTTTTTCTAAAATTCTGAATTTCTGGTTTGCCGAATTTCTGAATTTCTGATTTTCCGAATCCCTGAATTTCTGAATTTCTGAATTTCTGAATTTCTGAATTTTTGAATTTCTGAACTTCTGAATTTCCGAATATCTGAATTTCTGAATTTCTGAATTTCTTAACTTCTGAATTTCCGAATATCTGAATTTTTGAATTTCTGAACTTCTGAATTTCCGAATATCTGAATTTCTGAATTTCTGAATTTCTGAATTTCTGAATTTCTGAATTTCTGAATTTCTGAATTTCTGAATTTCTGAATTTCTGAATTTCTGAATTTCTGAATTTCTGAATTTCTGAATTTCTGAATTTCTGAATTTCTGAATTTCTGAATTTCTGAATTTCTGAATTTCTGAATTTCTGAATTTCTGAAGTTCTGAATTTCTGAATTTCTGAATTTCTGAATTTCTGAATTTCTGAATTTCTGAATTTCTGAATTTCTGAATTTCTGAATTTCTGAATTTCTGAATTTCTGAATTTCTGAATTTCTGAATTTCTGAATTTCTGAATTTCTGAATTTCTGAATTTCTGAATTTCTGAATTTCTGAATTTCTGAATTTCTGAACTTCTGAATTTCCGAATTTCCGAATTTCTGAATCTCGGAATCTCTATCTGAATTTTTTGAATTTCTTCTAATAGATGTTTGGTTTTTTCGGAATATCGAAATTTTTTGAGTTTCAGAAAAAAGACTTTTTAAATTTGAGTGTTTTGATTTTGGAAACTTCCTTCTTTTCCTTAATTTTCCTTAATTTTCTCAAAACACCAAAGTCTAGAGTACTTTTTGTTTTTTTCTTCTTGTTCTTCTCATACACTCATAATTACTCACTTTCTCACTTCTTCCCTTTTTTTTTCTTTTCAAATTACCGCTTTTTTCCATTCTTAACTTCGCCATTACTCGTGGGAACTGTCCTGTTTCTTTCTTTGTGGTCAAATCTGAACATCATTACGAATGGAATTTCAATTTCATATTTTAAATTGTCTCATTTCCGGTCCGCTTTTCGATCAGCCCTTCCCACTCGATTTTCCCAAAAATTTCCAATCATTCACTTGTGCTCTTCTCGTTGCTCTTTTTCCTCTAAAACCATCATCATCACTCATTTATTCCGTGTTTTACACTGTGTCCATCGGATGGGTTCTGTCACCTCTCTTGTCCAGTTAATAAATGCGCGAAACAACTACTAATCAGATTATACTGGAGAGAAAAGAAGCAGAGAAAAGAGCATTGTGTTACTACAAAACAGAAACAGAGGTTCTGTTCTTTTTGTTCGGTTTTAGATGGAAATCTCACTTTTTTCATTGAGCGAAAACCTAAAAACCTTTGAATTCCTTAAATCTAAAATTTTAGAGATTCTGGAACTCTTGGAGGGTTCTTCTGAATTTTAACAATAAATATTGCAATTCGAAGTTTAATTTTTACCGAAACCTATTATGTAAACAGTGCCGGTCAATAAGATATACAAAAACGAGTTTTTCAGTTGATTTTCGGTCATTTTGACAATTTTCAGGAGTTTGGAGCTCGGCTGTCAAGCGTCCAATCACTTTGAAATTTTCGGAGGGTGAAAACAGACCAAGATTGAAAACTTTGCATTTACAGAATTTTCGGAAAGTTCCTAGTTTTTCAGATATCTGTCGATTTCGACACATGCGTTTTTCACTTTTCAGTACAAAAACATAAAAAAGGTGTTCTTCAGAAATCAGCAAATAACTGAAAACATTTTCAAAAAATTCTGTGAATACAAAGTTTCCAATCTAGGCCTGTTNTACACCGAAAATTTCAAAGTGGGACACTTGACAGCCGAGCTTCGGAATCCTGAAAATGCTCGAAACGGCCAAAATTGCTGAAATCAACTGAAAAGCTGTTGTATATCCTATTGACCGGTACTGTACTTCCATACTCATATTTTTAACTTCTATAAATTTCCAACTTCTTCTCCATTTCTTTTTTCTTCTCTCTTTTTCAGGGCAAAGAGAATCGAGAACTGGTCAAAATCAAACAGTCTACAAAAGTTTCTCGTGTCTCTTCTTGTTGTCTGTACTTGTCCATTCTCTTCCGAATGCTCAACATAAATCGCCGTTGGTTTTTTTTATATGTGTGCAGGTTTTGCGTTCTGCATACACGAGAGCAACACGAAAAGGTAGACGAGAGAGGAAACAAGAAATATACTCCTCACTTTCACACTTTCTGCTCCGCTTGCACTCTTGGACACTGTTTGCACGGATGTCTTGCGCACAATCACTGTTTTAAGAAAGGTGTCATTTCCACTTGCACTTTTTCTAGAATCCCTGTTCCAAAGTTTTTTTGTATTTTTTTGAAGTCCATAGTTTCAATCCGACGACTAGAAATACCGTTTTTTGTTACTTTTGTTACTTAAGTCCAGTTTCCCTAAATTATAATC